GGGGCAGAATCACTTCCCCCGACCTGCTGGCCACGCTTCTCCTGATGCAGCCCAGAGTACGGTTGGCCTTCTGGGCTGCCAGCGCACATTGCCGGCTTTATTTTCCCATATCCAGGTTTACATTTCTACAACTAAAGAGGAAGCAATGGGGTAGCTGTTGCAGAAAGCTCAAGCTGTTGCAAGATGGTTTTGCTTTGCTTATGTTTCTATTGCAGGCAAACTACGGCACAGCACAGAGGAGACTGACCCAAGCCCTAAAGCGCTAGGGACAAGGCAGAGCTTTAGCACATTTCTCAACCCCTTGTAGCTCATGAAGTTCTTGCCATCCCATTGCCAAGCGCTGGGCTGCACGCAGATGGATGAGGGAAGTGCTCAGCTGCCAGGCTTAATCTGGTGCCCAGATTTGAGGACAAAGATGAAAATGGGGGTAAAGAAGCCAGATCCGTGCAGCAAGCTTTGTAAAACACAAATGGGCAACTCCAGAAGTAGAATGAACTTCAAAATGACACGTTCCAAAAAAGACAGGATAAAATATCTGTGTCATTTGAAGAACTTGCTATAGATGTGTGATGAGAGAATATAAACTGTCTGCATAGGATCCTGTTATGCAGAACATGTAAGTGCAACACTAGAATAAACCTGAAAGCATTCTCGAGTCCATCTCCCGTCTCCAAAGCAGGATTTGGCCAACCTCAGACAACCACAACTAATTATTTTCCAACATTGTTTTGAACTCCTACAGTAAAAGTGATTCTGATCTGTTATAAGGCCAAACTGTTTCCTTAACTGCAAAAATCTTATTAAGTAAATTCACGTGGCTGCAAATTGTATAGCTCTACCTCACTGAACACGGAGAACAATTAATCACCATTTGCATAAACACATATTGCAAAGCTGTAAAGACTGTTGCCAGGAAGACTGTTATATTTGCTCTCAAACCCTTTCTTTTCCAAACTAAACTCTCCTGCAGTCTGTTTTCTTTTTGTTGCCCTCCCCCCCCTTTTTTTTCCCAAGGATTCTTTAATTATTGTGGAGGTGATGTCCACATACTGCCCAAACTGTGCACAACACAGATCACCACTGCCGCCCATGGCATTTGGAATTTTTTACATCACCCCCATATTGCTGGCCCACCTTCCGTTTGAGGGCTGCAAAAACCTCCAGGTTGAGAACAGCTGCTCACACAAGCATTCCCAAGCTGGTATTTGTACAAGTACAGTCTTTTGTACCTACCTACCTTAACTTAGTTAGACTTTATTGATTTCTCCCATTATAAGAATAAAAATGATATTGGAAAATGTCTTCCACTTAGTTTCTAAACTGATGTCACCTATAAGTGTTTTAGGTTTATTCTGCTTTTCATCACCCACATTATACTTGTAAACATTGCATGGCACTAGTTCAAACCTCCACTGCGAGGACTGTTTAGCTTTGCCAAAGGAATGGTGATTACGGTCATATGAATGTAGTTCTTCGGTCAGTGGTACATCCATCTTAGAGAAGTTTCAGCCAAACCGTATTTCCCTAATTTATTTACAAAAACTATAACAATATCCAGATACACATTGTCACCTTGCTTCACTCCTACCCAGCGGGTCAGCTGGACGTTAGACTGGTGCTAGAGATGAAGTTTCCTTGCAGCCTTTGACTTCTGTGTTAGCTGAGGCTATAACTAGGAGAGAAGTTCGATACTAGAAAACAATATTCTTGAAGTCTGGATTTACTGCTGTTGGCGGCTGGAGGGGTAGGTTGGGGTTTTTTTTCATGACAGCTGCTTGCTTCAGTGAAACATTTTAGGAAGTCCCTCTCCTGTTTTTAAAAGCCTGTAATTGCCCATCAGACTACAGCAAGGGATTTTTTTTGTTGTTGTTTCAAAATGCTGGTGTAATCTCTTGAAACTTTGCTTACAGCTGCCTCTAAATTCTTAGGATTACTGCTTGGAAATATAACCACTGCACAGAGTCAGCAGTTCTAAGTTCATCCTTAAGCATAACTTTCATTTTACATCTATGTAATTTTATAAACAAACTAAAGAACACCTGTTTTCATAATTAAAATACTGAAATAACTGTTAATTGAATGCTCCCATCTTCATGCCTAGTCAAACCTTTGCATGCTGCTGCAAAATGCAAATAATTTTCAGAATTGTGTGCAGGAAGACTCATGTCACTGAATAGTGAAAATTCTGAAAAATTCTCCTACTCAGCTCTTGGGATGGCTCAAAGATACAAGGAGAAGCAAACGGGATGGTCACGTTATGAAAAAGCACCACTGCAGGGAACAGTATTAAACATATTGCTTAAATGTGTTAAAATAAACTTATTCCGTATATATGGAATCATAATAATTTAGCTGAAGACAACCTGTCAAGAAACGAAAAAAATAAGCTTTTGTAGCCGTGTTGAATCTTCAGCTTCCTTGAGAAAGACACCTGCAAGCCAGAGGGAAATAGAAAAAGAGAAATCTCTTTCAAGTTTCCCTTCAAGAGAAGAACTCAATACTACATAGCTGGAAGAGCTAGCTTAACCTCGGTGCCCAGAAACAGCAGAAGAGGATTGGTACTGCAAAGTGCATCCTTAAGCAACTTCCTAAGTGAAGAAACTGATAAGAAATGACAAATTTGAAGCTGTATTCCCAGTATCTGCTAGAAAGAACTCTTCATCTTTATCTTATATCATCCTTATCTTATCCAGGGGTTTCCCAAGAAGAGATTCAAGTACTCCCACTGTACCTCACCTATGAATTGCCACCCTATTGCACCTACACTGCTACCCATCCCCTGCAACACGAGGATGCCAGAAAGCTTCTCTGTCAGCCTGCACACCCAAAGCAGCAGCCGGAATTGACAAAACTGGCAATGCAGTATTACCAACAGGATCCTACCTGCATGAAGATGAGCAGACAATTTTGACCAAAAACACCTGGTTGAGTTTTCCTTAAGAGGCCTCTGGCTCTTGTATCTGCGTATCGAAAATTAGGAGCAGAAATGCAGAGAGGCAGGATGAGTTTATGCTGATAACAGAATATTCAATTATTTGCCTTACTACACAGTAGGGTTTTGGCTTTATTCCAGTGTTTCCTCCTTTCCCATTAACAAGGGTTTGAGTGCAGCACTGGTGATTATTAGTTTTTCCAATGTCCACCCTGCTTGTTATTTAGGCCCATTCCTTCTTAACAGCTAATGCATTTAATACAGGCCCATTTTATATTCAAATAATTTCTATTTCCTCAGTGTTTCTTCTTCCAGGTAAGGACACTTCAATTCCTTTAGCCTTAGAGAGTCATACTACCAAACTAATTCGCTCAGTTTAGGCCCCTTTTATATTCAAAATCTTTCAAATTTCTATTTTGTAATTCTTCTTGTAGGAGAGGACATCTCAACTCCTTTGGCCTTTCTTGACAGTACAGCTACGATCAGCTGGAGAAAACACCAAGGAGAGTAACTGTCCACATTCTTCTTGAATTGTTGTGGCCAGAAGGAGGCATTTAAGGCTACATCCTCACAGGGATGAATGATGTCACCAATTCTAGTGCTTGTTATTGTTTATAGAAAATACTCCAGCTTAGAATTCTGAGTCTGTTTGCTTCTCCTGCAGTTATTGTTGCCTAGTGATCATTTCCCATTCGTACCTGTTCTCAGTACTGAGCTTCACATTTATTTCCACACCTACTTCTTCCACATCACCTCTCCAATTTATCATTTTGAATTCTAGTTCTGTCCTTGTACAGCTTAGGGTCATCTGCAGAATTAATAAATGCACATTATATTTCTTCATTTGAATATCCAATGATACCAGATCTGCTGGAGGCAGAGTACAGTAACAGGCTTATCACCAAGTTCATTTCCCACATCTGTGGGATCAAACCATGATAAACACTGCTGAAATTGCACACTAGGAAATGGAGCGAGTAAACTGTGAAAAATAATTTATTGTACTAATTTTCAACAGCCAGTAACCTTAATTTTATGCTTAGAGATAAATGATGCCAAACACGTCTCATACAGGGAAATATTTTGTAGTTGTTCTTTTAACAGCCTCAGCTAAAAACATCGCTGCAGATCAACATGAGTTCCAAGTGGTAACTCACTTTGCGCAAACTAAATACAACAAGCAACCATCTTCTCTTCCCATCTCAAACAGGGCACAGCAAGTTTGTGGAGATACAAATGCACAAGCAGCATTCACCAGGTGAATGAAGGCACCAGGTACTGTACCAGAAGACAGCTAAGGTATACCAGTCACTACCAGTATGCCAGGATCACCCGTAGTTCCACTCCCAGATACTTCTTGTCGTACATTCAAAGGTGTCCCAAACAAGCATTTTGTGTTACCTCTGACATTTACATTCTGTCATTAAAATTAATATCAGTGCTTCTCCAACCGGATCCTCTAACATCTTCTTTTCCTCTTGGGGAGAGAGACTTCTGAAAGGAAACAAAGAGATTTTTCTGACAAGCTTTTCAATCTATCTTCCCTCACGGGAATGATTAAAGCAGAATTAATTCTGCCCAGCAAAGGAAATAAATTAGATGAACTTGAGACCCAGTTCCTCTCCCCATGGTTTTAAATACGAAAAAATCTTTCTAGATTCTACAGCACACTATCATTCAAAATATCAATTAAAATTCCATTGATGAACAAAATATTGTCCTTCAAAACTTACCTCAATCTTGACAGCTTTCTGCTCCCCATGAACACCTTTAAGATTTCATTGTGAATTTGACAAATGGAATACTCACAAAATTAAGCACTAAATACCTCAAGAGATTGCTCATGGGTATTTTAATGCTTCACAATTTGCTGGCAAATTCTGAGAAATTGGCAATGTTCTTGATTTAGAATGAAACATTTTGTCCACAACAGCTTGAAGGAAAAGTAACTAAATAAAGTACAATATGAAATGCACCACTGTACCCTCAATCCGACAATTTAAAATTGAATTCACAGTGTCTACAACTAAGGTAATCAGAGAATGTAATCTCATCTCAGTACTACAAGATGCTCTTTTGCTTTTAGAAAGAGCAAATATAAATGGGCTACCTCACTACAAATGTATTTTAATAGTTATTATGTTCCCTTGTATGAAATAGCCTTCCATTACACACAATTTTGGATAGTAAATTAACTCCAAAAGACATACTCCTCACACTCATCTATGCCATTAAAGCTTTCCAGAAGTTGTACTTAACCCTTTACTCCCCCTTTAAGCAACCTAATGAAATCCTACTTTTCCAGGTTAAGAACCAGTACCTCTGGTCTATCAAGTCTGCCTTCCACTACGTAAGCAAGACCCATCAGTCCTAGACTAGCTAGAGCTGCCAGTGGAAATCACACCTTTAGCTGGCCAGCTCCTCTCCCAGGAACACCACCCGTGTTTGAGACATGGCAGCAAAGCAGTACCTCAAGATAAAGAGGATTCGATTTTCTTTGTACAGTGTCTGTTCCATGGTGCTTATATTCCCCTCAAGCAATACTGAGAAGAGACCCTGAAGCTTCAGAGTTGCAGACCAGTTCAAGAACATCCAACATCTCAATTTGGACTATATGCATTTGATGCTTCCGTAGCGCAACTCCACTACCAGCTTTAAGAAACCTGCTTTACCATTGCTTCCAAATAAAAATTACATTATTTCCAGTAACATGAGTGATAGCAAAGTAACCCCACTCTTCTGTTGTGGTTCCCAGACTCCTACCCCAACTATGTCAGACAACTTCCAATACAGCAGAGGACAGTCTTACTGTACATGTATACTGTACTTAATCCTTGAAATATTGCCCAGCTGAAAGTAAGGCTATAGGGAAACTTCTGTGTCCCCTCACTTCCACATAGGTGAAGGCAGCAAGGGCTATTCTGACCTTGAGTGCAGGTTACATCAGTTCCCAGAGCTACCAGACTTAGAAACATAGAATCGCTTTGGTTGGAAAAGACCTTTAAGATCATCAAGTCCAATCTTTAACCTAACCCTGTCATCCCACCACTAAACCATGGCCCTAAGCACCTCATCTATCCTTCTTTTAAATACCTCCAGGGAGGGGGGCTCAACCACCTCCCTGGGCAGCCCATTCCAGAGCCTGACAACCCTTTCAGTGAAGAAGATTTTCCTAATGTCTAGCTTAAACCTGCCCTGGCGCAACTTCAAACCATTCCCCCTCGTCCTATCATCTGTTCCCAGGGAGAAGAGACCGACCCCCACCTCCCTACAGCCTCCT